TCATTTCGCAAACGTTCAAGTTTCAAGTCTAAATTTGATATAACCACCTGGAGAACGAGTAACACTGAAAAAAGGGAGCAGTTGCTGCGATCTCCACAGAGTGGTCTCTATTATTACGCATTCGTCTCTGAACTTTTTCCCAACAATCTCAGCAATTCCTGTAATTCTTAGAACCAGACTTAAGAACTGTAAAAGGGGGTAAGTTTCTTGAGAAACTGTTGTGCTGTGTCGGTGGGAGAGTATAGCAGGTAATTTAGTGTTAACAACTGAGTTGAAAACGTAAATTGGCCACCGTAAAGAGTAAACAGCTGACGTTTCGAGCGTTAGCCCTTCGTCAGCGCGGTTGGCGAAGTGCTAACGCTCGAAACATCAGCTTTTTAACTCTTTACGGTGGCCAATTTACGTTTTTAACTCAGTTGTTAACACTAAATTACTTGAGAACTGTAATACTATTTATCTGGCCCCAGTTGTTCGAAGGTTGGATAACGCTATCTGCTGGGTAAATCTCTATTCGGTGGATAGTGTAGTATGTTTTGCTGTCATTTGTCCGCTGGATAGCGATTTCTCCGTTGGATAACGTTTTATACAATTGGGCCTTTATACAGTTGGGCCTTGGAGTTGAATTCATTGAATGCGAAATTTGTTTTCTCCTTCCATACAGGATACCAAAGCTGAATTCAACCTACCCCTCCCTGGCCATCATGTAGACAAGCTATCCCCGGTAAGTTATCGTAGTCATGGCTGCCTAAAAATATTCTGTTGACCGCACAGTGAAATTCCAGAGTCAACCACGTTATCCCGCGCTTCAGGCGCTGGGCTTGTTGTTACTTGAAGTTCTGATTGGCTCCTCGTGATGCTTTCCTTTAGTTTATAATAAACTAGTGGACAGTGTTGAAAGCGCACTCTTATTGGCCTCTCAAACCCCGACTGTCCTTTACTGTTCACCTCCGAGCTACGCGCGTGGGATTTACCCATGAAACGAGTGCAAATTATCTTCTTGTGATATATTATCTCATCATTTTAGTATAAACGAAAACAGCTGTTGGCCTCCCCTTAGATGAAATCCTGATTTGCCGTAGTGATCACTTGGGTATTCATTTTTCCAAAAAACAGCAAAGTGCTTTAGATCCTCTTCGATTTCTTATTGCTTTACAGCATTTTGACTGCAAGTCTTTTAGCGGAGCACAAAATGCATGTAAATCGTGGAAACGGTGCTGTTTTCTCTTTCTGAGCCACAAACTTGGCACGGTTTTTAACAAGATTTTATTACTTGTATGCCTGCTTTTCCGCTAAAGCGACATTCTTGCAAAGCCTCTTAGTAGGATGGAAATGTTTGAGTTTCACCTAAACTACTGTCTCAATTTTCTGCACATGTGCTGTTCTACGTTTGGACAAAGCCGCAATGTAATGTTCTTTTCGAAAGTAATTTGTAGATGCAGCATTAAGCAGATGCTATTTCATGTATCTTTTTACATTTTCCTTTCTAGGCAGATGAGGTGGACCGCCAGAAAAATGTGTTCAAAGTGCATCACAAAAACATACGAGTGTTTTTTTTCCAGGCCGAAAGTGCGGAGAGCATGCGAAGGTAATGATAACTGACAAAATGTCAAACTCTCCCTATTAATTTGTATAAGTTTCTAGTGAGAATTTTTCAGTGAATCAGCGATCGTTTTGACTTGATATTTATACGCAAGTTTTAGTCTCCGCGCTAGAATTCAAATCGCGAGGTCTGGGCTCCAGTACTGGACAGGATTATTGTAAGGTGTTGTGGTCAATATTCTTTAGTCCTTAACCTTTGACTCCCAAGATCTGATTGCTAATTCTCCCCTCTAGCTGCTACAAATTTCTTTGTTAACTTGTTTCGGGAATTTGGTGTTAGATCAAGATGATAACTTCTACCTGATAAGTTTGAGTATTCTCATAAGCTATCTGCTGGATAATGTATTATGACAATAATAATAATAATAATAATAATAATAATAATAATAATGGTTATTATTTGTAACGCGCATTTTACATATGCATATGATCAAATGCGCGATAAAATAAATAGAATAAACTAAATGTAAATATAAATGCTCGATGAAAATTTAAATACTCGGTCCTGCATCAAAATATGTTGAAATAGTATGTCTTCAATAGAGATTTAAATTTAATTAAGTTATATGCATTTCTTATTAAACTAGGAAGACCATTCCAGAGTTTAGGAGCTGCACTTAAAAAAGCCTTATTACCTAAAGTTTTCTTCGTGCCAGTGATTAATGGTTGTAATGAAAGCTCATTATTAGAGCGCAAACTTTAATTCAAAGGCTGTTTTATCTTAATAAGACTAGATATGTAATTAGAAGCAAAGCCATTGATAGCCTTAAAAGTATTTACTTCAATTTTGAAATTAATTCTCAATTTAACAGGTAACCAGTGCAAAGAACGTAAAGCTGGTGTTATATGACAGAATCTAGGAACAATGCAAACTAACCTGTTTGCTGTATTTTGAACTCTTTGCGGGTTATTTTAAATGAATGTCGGGCACTCTGAAAAGAAGGTTATTACAATAATCTATTCTTCCATTCCTAATGCATGAACTAATATTTCTGCAGATTCTTTAGAAAGATATTTTCTAATGCGCCTTAAATTATGTAAAACATATGGATGTTATAAGAAGTTACATGTGAGTTTAATGGTGAAGTGCCTCTGTCCACCCAAATATATACCAGCACATTGTCAGAAAACCTGACGAAAGGGGGAGAGGGGTAACTCTCGACAGATTAGAATCCCGTGTGGAAGCGGATGGGGGGGGGGACTGGGGTTGGTACTGCTTCTTGTTGCCATCTGGCACAGAAACTAGGGATCAACGTCAATATCTGGGCAACTGCGCACCTACCCTTCCCCTAACCCAACTTTAACCCTGACTTTTTAATCAGTTGACAGTTGTTGGACAAGGGGAGGGGTAGGTGCGTAGGTGTGGTATCATCCCGAGCGCTGTGTCAGTATCCTTACACAGAAGAATGTATCGAGGAATAATTTCTCAACCCATGGCAATGTTATAGGAGGTCGATAATGAAAACTGTCCAAGTGATCATTCTTGGATAAGACTACCCAAAATGGCTGCATTTTGTTAAATTCTCTGCACCTTAAGTCAAAGAAAATAGGCGGAAATCTTTAAGGAGGATGCTCGTTTCTTATTAGGTGGATGGAACTTCTGGCTCGTGCAATAAAAGCTGAGGGAATCGAGGAAAAAAATCCGGAAAGTCAGGAAAGCAGTGAGACTGTAGAAGTCACCGTTATTTGAGCCGTTCGATATAAGTAGCTTTAAAATATTTAACAACTGGATAATTTTATTTCAAATAAGGAGTTTTAAAACATCCGTTCCCCTAACTAGGTAATAATTCTAAATAAATTTATTTCACGCTCATAATTTTCCCCAAAATTTATAAGACTTTTTAGCCCATACGAGACATGATCAAATTATGGAATATTATGGGATGCTTTCAAGAGCCAGTAGGTTAATGGAAGGCACAACTAATATGCCAAATATAGTTAGATTTTTCTAGATCCCTACATAGCATATTTTGTACATGTAACCCTCGTTCTCTCCTCACTTGTAAATTTAAAACTGAAAAAAATAGAGATGAGGTTTTTCTTTCAATAACATCCTCTTATGCATAGATAAATCTACAATCGGCGTAAAAATTATCGAAACTGACCTGTTCAACCCCCAATTAGTTA